ATATCTTGAAGGTGTTTTTAGCGGAAAATATATTATTTATTATTTGTACATTTTATCTCTTACTAGTCTCTAGTTTTTGTACAATACAACAATACTACTCTTTTGCTCAAACAGACTGGTTATGAAGTCTCTTATTATCTAAGAGAGTGTGAAGTGATCTGTAAGCGATAAGCAATCTGTTGTTACCATTCATTGGAATAGTCAATAAATCATTCCTTGACATTTATCTATCAAAAGTTATTTGTAAACAAAAATTTAAACATAATTGAAAAATTTCGCAAATTTGAAAATTATTGAAAAGAAATATTTTAAAAGCACATTAAAATTGTGTAAGATAAACATTTTATAAATATAAAAAAATTTTTAGGAAGACATGAAGTGCAAATCATATTAAATTTTTTTACTTATTAGTTTTTGCTTATGCTCATTAACACGTTAATTAATTTTGTTGAAAAAGCAAATTTCACAATTTTCTGAAATGTTGCCTTTGCGTTTAGTTTACTATTCAATTCCTTTTGGATTTTGGTAACAAACATAAGACTTGTTCATCGTAAAAACATAATATTATACAGATTGTAACATTGTTGCCAATACGTCAGGAAGAGACTTAAGCAAGAGACTTGTTGTTTTTTGTCGCACTTAGAGCGGCCGAATACACCTTTTGTTTTCCTATTGTTGTTTATTGTATTGTTGCTTATTGGTCTTTGGTGTTTCTCAGCTCAACTTAAATGTATGCATTATGCAGCAAAAAATAATAGAAATTAAGTGTTGAAGGCCAAAGTTTAAAGAAAAGAGAAAAATACTAATGAACAATTGTTATCAGATTTTAAGTTTCTAGGAAAAATCTTTATTATCCAATTTTAATATTTAAATCCTGTTTACAATGATGCTTATTCGAATCTAGTCCTTATCTATTAAGTGCACAAATTTCGCAAAAGTCTAATGTTTCTTAAAATAGTAGGCCACTGAATTGAATACGAAAAAAGTTGAGTTCTGATTATTCAGTTTAGAAGGTTGCAAGGTAGTAGCTATAGTCATCTAATTTTAAACTTTCAAATACTTATTTTAAGTATTTTTGAAATAATATATCAAATGCGGCTATTTGATATGTATATCTTCTTATATATATGTATAGTTGCAATATCTGTTTTTTTATCCTTGCAGTCTGTAGCTTATTTGGTTCTAAATATTACCATTATTAGCGTAAATATTATTACCGTTGTCAAAATCTTACACCTTATTGACAGTATTATATTTATTTCCTATAAAGTCTTATAGTATACTATAGTAAGTGACTGTTAACTGGTCAAGTGACTGGTCAAGCTTTATTTGACTTATTTAACAACTACAGTTTCTTAAATATTTAAACTGCTTTTGGAAGCTATAGAAAATATTAAAACACCATTACTGATATTTAATAAATTTAAATGCAGCAACTGGCACGAAAATATGAAACTGATTTGAATGCCTCAACACCTGCATATATCTCATATTATTTACTTATTCCTCGAAAACGTAAGCTTATATAAAAGCATGTAGATGAATATTTGTATCTGTGATTGCTGTCTAGAACTCACATACCATATATATACATATGTTATTTGCTTTCTACTCAGTACTATTCAATACTATAACTTTAACTATTGCGATTGCTTTATAGCCTTTACAGAGTTCCTAGTCCATTTTTGTCTATGTTTTTGTTGTTGTGCTTACCTAATGCCGGCGTTGTGTATACGTGAATTGAATGAATTTGTTTACACCATTAAAGTCTAAAATTGATATCAGCAGTTTTGCATCATAAACCAAAACAAAACTTTTTACCCAAGGCGTCTTGACGCTTGAAATCGGGTCTTATAGAAGAGATGGGTAGGTGAGTTTTTTGAGCTTGTTACATATACATACATTGTGACCGAAAAGTTTTCGGAAATTCTCATTTAAAATTCGCGCGCTGTATATTTTTCGATATTTTAAGTTTATGTAGTTTGGCAGCACTGTCCTTAATTACTATGCCAAAAATGAGCGCGATCTGTCAGACAGTTCGTTTACGGCAGCTGTTGAAACCAGTTCACCTCAGTAGTGCGTTGCGAAAAAAACAATGGAAAAAAATATTGATCAAAGAGTTTGCATCAAATTTTGTGTTTCGAACGAATTTTCGTGTGCAGAATCGTTGCGAATGCTACAAAAGGCTTATGGGGAATCAGTTTTATCGAAAACTCAAGTTTATGAGTGGTACAAAGCCTTTCAGGACTGTCGTACGACCGTCGAAGACATGCCGCGTTCTGGACGACCTTCGACCTCTACCACCGACGAAAACATTGAAAAGGCAAAGGAAATCGTGTTCAAAAATCCTCATGTGAGTGTTAGAGAGATAGCACGAGAGCTAGGCATCGGTCGTGAGATGGCTCGTTTGATTTTGGTGGACAATTTGTGTATGCGACGTGTCAACGCTCGGCTTTTTCCGATTCACCTCAATTTGTTCCAAAAACACCATCGTGGACAGGTCTCGTTAGACATGCTTGATCGTGCCAATTCCGATCCAACTTTCATGGAACGCATCATAACGGGTGACGAGACATGGGTCTACGAGTACGACATGCAAACAAGCCAACAATCATCGGAATGGAGAGGAAAAGACGAGCCGAAACCGAAAAAACCACGCCAAAGTCGCTCGAAAATCAAGGCAATGCTGATTGTTTTCTTCGATATTCGTGGTGTGGTGCATCATGAATTCGTCCCTGAAGGACAAACAGTCAATAAAGACTATTATTTGACTGTTTTAAGACGTTTGCGTGAAAATATCCGCCGTAAACGGCCTCAATTGTGGAAGGATAATTCATGGATTTTTCATGACGATAATGCTCCCTCGCACCGAGCCAACATTATCAACGATTTTAAGGCCAAACATTCAATAAATACCATCGAACAGCCACCGTATTCACCTGATCTTGCACCGTGTGACTTTTTCCTGTTTCCCAAACTCAAATTACCACTCAGAGGAACGCGTTTTGAAATCCATAGAAGACGTAAAACAGAATTCGCAGAGGGAACTCAAAGCCATACCGGAAAGCGCCTATAAAAAATGTTTTGATGATTGGAAGAAACGTTGGCATTTGTGTATCGCTTCTAATGGAGCATATTTTGAAGGAGATAAAATAAATATTGATGAAGATTAAGAATTTTGCGTTTTATTTAAAATTTCCGGAAACTTTTCGGTCACAATGTATGTAATAATATTTTTTTCCAGTAATCGTGGTTTAGCCATGTACTACTATACACAAACGTTTAATATTTTTACATAAAACAAATTAAATTTATTTAAACGCAACTAAAATATTTTCAAGTGACATCTCGCCACTAGTGTGAATAGGGGTCATAACCTCACTTTCATCTTGAAAATATCGAACTCAACTGAAGCAGTAGTAATTTACCATTTTTTGCACATCACATTTAGTACCCCGAGAAAATCCAGTAGGACTGTAAGTATAACTTAAACTAATTCTTTTACACATAGGTAATTCATTAACTATTTACATACTTTTTTAAAATTGTAATTCGACGTCAGTCATGATGGAAGTGGCTATTTTACTTAATAGAAACTGTTGTATGTGGTAGAGGAAAGTAGTTCTCTTTGTATTATTTTAATTAAGTAAATTTTTGGCTGACCCATCATCAGTGGTCTTGAAATTATTTCTTATATTTAATTATTAGTAAATAATTTTTTATAGATTGCAAGCACTCGTAGCAAAGCTTGAACTCGAATCCTGCCAAATTTGAAGCTTAGAATTAGCATTCATTAGCCAACTAATCCACAGCCGTTCTTAACTTGTATGTTTGAACTTGAAGTTTTGATAATTTGCTGTGAAACTTCATTAAGAAAATCACTTGCTGTGTTATATTAAAACGAAATCATAAACCAGATGCAGAATAATTAAATTAATTGAATCACTCTACTGCCACGAAAGAAAATTGCAGAACAAATAGTGGTTAAATCGTGGAAGATAGTGGAAGAAACCCATAGTATCAGTGAATGATACCTCACTTTGGTGGGACATTCTTCCGCACTCGCCCCACTTTTAATGTCGTACTCCTGGTGTCGTACTCCTGGTGTCGTACTTCTGGTGTCGTATTCCTGGTATCGTACTCCTGGTGTCGTACTCCTGGAGTCGTACTCCTGGTGTCGTACTCCTGGAGTCGTACTCCTGGTGTCGTACTCCTGGTGTCGTATTCCTGGTATCGTACTCCTGGTGTCGTACTCCTGGAGTCGTACTCCTGGTGTCGTACTCCTGGAGTCGTACTCCTGGTGTCGTACTCCTGGTGTCGTATTCCTGGTATCGTACTCCTGGTGTCGTACTCCCATTGTCCTACTCTTGGTGTCGTACTCTTGGTGTCGTACTCTTGGTGTCGTACTCCTGGTGTCGTACTTCTGATATCGTACTCCTGGTATCGTACTCCTGGTGTCGTACTCCCATTGTCCTACTCTTGGTGTCGTACTCTTGGTGTCGTACTCTTGGTGTCGTACTCCTGGTGTCGTACTTCTGATATCGTGCTCCTGGTGTCGTACTCTTGGTGTCGTACTCTTGGTGTAGTACTCTTGGTGTCGTACTCTTGGTGAACGTACTTTTGGTGTCGTACTCTTCATCTTCTTCGTACTCTTGGTGTCGTACTCTTGGTGTCGTACTCCTGGATTCGTACTCTTGGTGTCGTACTCTTGGTGTCGTACTCTTGGTGTCGTACTCTTGTTGTCGTACTCTTGGTGTCGTACTCCTGGTGTCCTACTCTTGGTAGGTGGCCTATATTTCAGCAATTTCGGGGCAATTGTATGTAAAACTGATGTAAAACAACGATTATATATTCGAAATATTAATTTTTTCTTTAAATTGAATGTTCTATTAATTTGAATTTTCTAAAGAGAAATTACAGAGCAAGTCCTTGCTTTTCTGTCAGTAATATATTAAATAAAAATTTAAATCAAAATATTAAGATAATTACAATAAATGGATCTGAAAAGTGTGTTATGTTGAAAGTTGTAATGGTTGTAATAATTATAATAATATTTAAAGCAACTGTACTTACGTCTTCTGATTTTGCTGACTATAATGATAATGACCTTGAAGATGAAGAAGAAGATTTTCATATGCTGATAACTGGTGGATATCGTCCTACTAAAAATACAATGGCAAAATATTTAGTATCAATAAGAACCTCAAGGCCTACTGCATATTTTGGTGATAATCATTATTGTGTAGGGTCGCTGATAGCATCGAATTTAGTTCTTACTGCAGCACATTGCGTAGTGGAGTATGTGTAAATTAAGATTTATTTAAAAATAAAAAAAATGTAAGTTTGTTAATAGATTTGTCCAAAATTTTACAGCTCTAATAGAATTGTGACACGTTCGAGAAGAATCATTGTTGTAGCTGGCACTCCAAATCGTTTACGTGAGAATCCAAAAACTGTGGAATTGGAAGTAGAAGCTGTTATTCCACATAATAAGTTCATACGTAGTAGCGGGAACGATATAGCAATACTGCGGTTAAAACAATCGGTGCCAAATGATAATGATGCTATAAAAATTATTCCACTTGCACATAGAAAGCCAGCAGTAGGTACTAATTGCACCGTTGTTGGTTGGGGCCAATTATTACCAGTAAATTTTTTACAAATCTTACAATAAAAAGCATTTAAATATAATGTGATGCATTTTACAGGATGGACCATTCTCAGCTGAAGCAGTATACGTAGATCTTACAATAACTTCCGATAAACAATGTCAAGATGCGTATTCAAGCTCTTATAGTAAGGGTATGATATGTGCAAACGGTAAAGAAAAACTATTTCAGGGTCCTTGTCGTGGTGATTCTGGAGCGCCTTTGATATGCCGCGGACGAGTATGTGGAATTGTGTCTTGGGGTGTGCGTTGTTCCAAATTGGGCTTTCCAACAGCATTCACTGATGTTGCTTATCACTATCAATGGATACAAAAAGTGAATGGGGTTATTCTTATCAATTACATTAGCTACACCTTATTATTAGTGTGTTTTTTTATAAATAGGATTGTTCTTTGAAAGAAAAAAATTTCTTTTTTTGAAAAATATTGGTTTTTGGTTGTAAATGTGTGAGTTATGTAGCAGAATACCATTAAACATGGTATTAAAAACATTTTTTAACATTGCATGAATTGATTTACAGATATAGTTATGGAAAAGAAATAAAAATCTTTAATTATATAGAAATATTAAATTAAATATTAATAATATAAAATATAAAAACAAAAATGCAATTCTTGTACTATTCATGACCATATCCATTACTATCAGATCTAATAGTATTACCTCTATTTCATAAGTTACAGAAACGATTTCTGAAATATGCAGAGGTACTTTTTCTGCCTAATATGTGATCAGATGATAAGAATAAAAAACATTTCTGTTTAATTCTTGAAAATAGGTACATTTTATACCAAAATATAGCAAAATAATATTTTAATAAATAAAATCAATTTGAATTATCTTTAATTATGTTATTTATTTAATTATATTTGAAATAATCTTTTGAATATCTTTTCTTGCTCTTATTCTTTTTAGCTCATTGGAACGTGATGTTGAAACATTTTTTGATTATATTGTCTTCATCTTTACTCCTTCATTTATATTGTATTTATGGGATCATACAAAAGTTGAACGTTCATTTTGCGGCCTAACATAGAACGGAATCTTTTCGATATATTCTTAATAATGCCTAAGCCTCAGAGGAGTCTTTGACTCCTCTGAATTGTGCATTGCGTGAACGTCTTTAAAAAAACAAATTACAGTAATTACAATATCTTTTTTCCGTTGTTAAGATCTTTATTTATATATGAGATTTATTTGCACCCTTTCTTATCTGATGCATTTCCATATAAGTTTGTTATTATGGTCATACTCAGGTATTTCTCCACAGTGTCATTTTTAATACTGGTGTTATTTATGTGCAGATGTTGTGTTCTATAATTGTTTCTAGACTTAGGCACAACTTGAACAGTTTTTAGTTTGGATTTATATATGTCATTTGCTATATATTGTTTTATCAGGAATTTCTTGTAATTTAGCTGCTGCTGTCGGCATATGTTTGTCAGCATAAAGTAGTATTGTCGTTTAGCATAGGTCTGCCTACAGTATATAGAGTCTAAAGTAATTGTCTGACAACGCTTCCTTATAGGGTATGGTATATTCTTTTTATTTTATATAAATATGTGTTTCTGATACATAGTTTTCTTGAAATTCATATATACCACTGAGTTAGGTAAGGTTATACTGATGACCTTGGGGATCCACTTGGATTTATTGGCCAATTGAGTTGCCGTATAAAAATTCAAAGTCTTAAAAACCACCTTGAAACTTTGGTAAAGCATTAAATGCTATTTACAGGGAGGTCCGGAAACTGGAATCTTTAAAAAAGTAAGTCACTAGCATATGGTGCTACGGTATAGTATTTCTTTTAGCTTTTGAAGTAGTCGGCCGTGAGGAGAAATTGTCCACATCGTTTAGATGCATTTTATGTATTTATTGAATTGTTTTGTGTTTTTGCTGGAAGCCGAATTGTATTATTTTTTAAGTTTTTGATTCGGTTTGTTATGTCATTTTTTAAACATTTTTGATAGCATCGGTAGCAAACTAATTGGTTTATATGACAATATTTTTGGTTTTGATGTTTGGTAGTACCCTGCATCTTCCAAGGCTTCCAGTGCTTCACCGCCATGTCAATCTTTCAGTTAGAATGACAGCTCATTGTATACTTAATAGGCTTAGCTCCAAAGATTCCCAAAGTCTCACAGAGAGGGATAAGGAGACTCCGCATATTTAGACCTCAACGAGATCGTGAAGAAATTTCAGACTTGGACTATTATTGACACTAAAAACAGTGATGGTTCCGGGGTGCCTTATACGCTGAATTAATAAATTAAAAATAAATAGTCTTTCATGCAGAAGTGTTGGTAATTTAATATACAGTGAGATGAGTTCTGAGCGATAATACTCTGAATATAAGTATAGCAACATTCACGAACAGCAAAGCTGGTATCAAATCTTTACTAAGTTCTTCAGTTGGCCCTGTTTATCAATGTCCACTACACCTATGGTATCATTCTATGGTATTGGTGCTAATAGGTCACTGTATATTACGAAGACATGCAATGGTACTTGGTTTAGCATATTATGAAATTTGACATGGTCACCACAGTTTATGCTCTTGTTATATTGTTTTTTAGTTTTACTTGAATTATGCCTATTCTCTTTGGTGTTGTCTATGCGCCAACAATTTTGGGCTTAACACCTGCTTTTATAGTCGTCTTGGTCTCGTGTACAACCAACGGCTTTATCCGTGGTATCATAGCGGGTTGTTAATTGTTATTTAAGTGGGCTTTGGTGTTTAATATCGCCACTTCAACCTAATCAACACTAATTGCACACGAGTTTCTTCATTCATTTAATTTATTGGTTACATTATTTACTGTTATTAGAACAGGAGCCATGGAATTTTCCTGTCATTTTCATTAAATACTTTTTAAAAATTAAAAAATATTATAAATGCAGCGACTAAATTAATTAGATAATTTGATTGCATAGTGCGAAAGTAACTTTTATAAAGGCATTTCAAAAATTCCAAAAATGGTAAGTTCAATTAATTATGTTTAAGAACTAGAAACTCATTTTTTGATTTTGGGGCAGGCATGTTATTTAGTTCAAAATTGAACTTATTTGTCTACATGCTGATAATAGTATTAATTAATTTGAGTCAAGTTTCAACAGAAGAAAATTTAACAGCACTTAGTAGTGAAATGCACAAACATTCACCCGTTTACAGACCTCACACTCACACCCTTGTGAAATATGTCGTTTCAATAAGGACTCGAAATTTCGATATTGTTTTTGGAGATAATCACTACTGCGCTGGATCCATTATAGCCCCCAATAAAGTTGTGACTGCTGCAGTATGCGTGAACAAAGGGTAAGTAAATATGTGATATATAAGATACTGAACACAAGAACGTGTCTAGTTGATTTCGTATATCAAATAGGAATAATTTAATTAATGTAGAAGACATAGTAGTCGTTGCGGGCTCCCCAGTTCTATTCGATCAAACTTCTGCCACTAAAATAATAAATGTGTCAAATATAATTGTACATCCCAAATACAAATATCCGAAATTTGAGTATAATATTGCTATAGTTGTACTGTTGGAATCTTTAATAATGGATGGTATTTATATAGATACTATACACATGGTGCATAAAAGTCCGACACCTGGCACTGAATGCACAGTGGTAGGTTGGGGTAGAGTATTTTATGTAAGTTACTTACTCATTCATTTTGTAATTACAGTAATTATAGTATGTTTTATGCAGCGGGGACCTTTTGCATATGAAGCGTTATATGTGGATCTCTATGTATGGTTACCTGAGATATGCACTCGAAGGGTGAGAAGATTCAAAGTTGGTTTGTTATGTGCGGGTGATAAGAATGACTATGAAAAAGATACGTGCTCAGCTGATGCTGGCGGGCCCCTCATATGCAATAATCGGCTTGCAGGAGTGGCTTTGTTTGATTTGAGCTGTGGGGTGCCTAATTATCCAGGAGTATTTACCGATGTGTCGCTATTTAGAGATTGGATTGAAACTAATTGTATGTAAACTAAAAATGTTTGGTTTTTTTCATTCTGATTAAATATTTTTTAATTAGCGGGCACAACGGATAACTGTGCAAAAATTTTACCAATATTGAGATCAGGTGGATCATTTCGAGGTATGACCAGAGAAGCAATGGCTAAATTTGTAGTTTCTATACGTTCGCAACGAGCTAAGGCGTATTTTGGGGATAATCATTATTGCGTTGGTACATTAATTGCCAGAAATTATGTAGTTACTGCCGCGCATTGCGTTATGGAGTTCGTAAATTTCGAAAATTAAGTTATATTAAAAAATATTTAATAATTTAATGTACATTACAGCATGAACCGAATCATAACACGGCCAAATCGACTAATGTTAGTTGCTGGGAACCCAAACAGATTATCTGAAGAAAAGTCGACTGTTAAGTTGTTAGTTGATAAAGTAATACCACATGAACAGTTTGTGCATACCAAAGGTTTCAATATCGCTCTACTGAAATTAAAAACAGACTTTCCTAAGGATAACGACGATATTGGATTTATAAGTATTGCGGAACACAGCTTGATCGCAGGCACTAATTGCACAATGATTGGTTGGAGTCGCATAGCGCCAGTATATTTTGTTTCTTTTAAAATTGCTTATTTCTGCTTATACTTTTTTCTCAATAACTTAGAAAAGCGCAGTGGCAGCTCAGTTGGTATACAAAAATCTTCAAATACTGGATAAAAGCGTTTGTAAAAATATTTACGGTGATGAGTTCTATGATGATATGTTGTGTGCACAAGATTATTCAAATTGGAGTATCTATCCCTGTCACGGTGATGCTGGTGCGCCACTTATATGCAATGGTGCATTATGTGGCATTTATACATGGAAGGACAGCTGTGGAAAATTTAACTATCCAACTGTGTTTACAGAGGTATTTGATTATAGAAGTTGGATTCATTCTATTTCCAAAGCACATAAACATATCATCCTAAAGAGAAACTTAGTTCTAATTGTTTTAGTTTACGGGATTCGATTGTTATATTTATAGACTAAATTTACGTGTACTTCTGCTAAATTGAGGCCTATACAATTTTTTCTATTTGATAAACAGTTATATATATGTAGACACTGTAATCTTAGATTGCTAAACAATTTCATAATTGCATTTAAGTGAAAAATATATAATAAATATATTAAATATTATAGTACAAATTTAGCAAAGCAATTGATTGAGTATGAAAGGGTAAGTAACATTTTAGATTATTTATTTATTATCGCAGTAAGAACCGGATCGATGCGTCGTCAAAGATGTCTGGAATATATGGTCCTATGCTTGCAGACCGAAAGATTCAAATGTGTGACAGTTTTCAAACAAACATTTTCAGACATTTTCAAACAAATTAGCCAAATGTCTTCAAAGACATTTTGCGTTCATGTCTCGAAGACCGGATGCGTCCATGTATTGCATAGTATATGTTTACTAACCTGATAGTAATGTTTTAATTTTACAATCCATTATTTCTTTGATGCTCAAGTTTTGTTAAATTGATAAAATTGAAAAAATTATAATTAACCGTATTGAAAAAAATGCTTCCGTTCGTTATATCACTATTTAATTGTCACAAGTTCGAAAATATATAAATGCAGGAGAAGTTTTCAGACATTTTCAAACAAATTAGCCAAGTGTCTTCAAAGACATTTTGCGTTCATGTCTCGAAGACCGGATGCGTCCATGTATTGCATAGTATATGTTTACTAACCTGATAGTAATGTTTTAAATTTACAATCCATTATTTCTTTGATGCTCAAGTTTTGTTGAATTTAAAAAATTTAAAAAAGTATAATTAATCGTATTGAAAAAAATGCTTCCGTTCGTTATATCACTATTTAATTGTCACAAGTTCGAAAATATATAAATGCAGGAGAAGTTGCATAAAGGATCTATACTATTATATAAAATGATTCCAAAGTGGTTTATAGAGTATTTTGCGAGCACACAGATACAACCCTATCAGCTTGTTGACCATAACACATTTCTTCTTAACTGTAGGTGAGATTGCCGTAAGTATTTATTAATTTAATCATTTCAAGACCACTAATGATGGGTATTTGGCAATACTCGAAACAGCTGTATGGTCAGGCAAAAATTCAATTAATTAAAATAATATAAGAAATAAAATTTTTGTTGTAGTTCACTACTGTTCGAAAAAACCTCTTAATTTAATAATAAAACCTAAAATGCCATTTGATTACTTTATAAAAAAAATTCTGACGTATATAACTGCATTAGTTGATAAAAATTATCAACATTTTGTCAGGAAAAGAAATAGTTTATAAGAATTGCACTAAGGATGAGAGAGCAATCCAAAAAGAGTTAATTGATTTATCAACTTAATAAGGAAGAAAGTAACGAAGTATAAAAATGTTAGCAGAACTTCAGTCATCACTACTAGGTATAAAACCACAGACCAAAATCTGAATAAAAGCAAATGTAGTCAATTGAGACAGGGACTACCAAATATTGATTTAGTATAATGGAGTAACCTATGTCTAATCTAGCAGAGGTAATTAAGTCCGGTTGCCAATAATTTAACTTGCTGTTTTACCAAAAAGGTGGCCGGTGAAGCAACGAGAAAATAAATTTCGTCGCGGTGGAAAGTAGAGCTACCATAATTTGCTAGGCTACCATCCTTATCTCATCGAACAGTTTTATATAGCTCACGTTTACAGTTGCTTGTCGCCAAAACACAGCACCGAAGAGAAGGATTGGTTTAAAGATTACTGTATAGAGCCATAGCACGATTGGAGGATAGTAGGTGGTACGCAACACAGGGAATACCTGTTCGATTAAGTCAATGTTACTATAACCTACCGTCACTAAAAGCTAGTTTTCTTTATTGCATAAAAATTATTTAAATATGTAACTATAGGTATTGGGTGGATATGAATAAAAAATAAGATAAATTGTGACGGTTCATTAGAAGTATGAAAATGAAAGTTTGAATTGTTAATGAGTGTATGTGAATGTAATGTAAGTAAGTTTGGTTAACTGCAAAGTTTCTAATGAAATGAGTGTGGAAAAAAGTTCATGATCAAGATATATATGTAAGAGAGTATAAGGCAATAGCAGAAAAAAAGTGATGTCAGCAGTCAGAAGTCCAAGTTGAACAGTCGAAGTGATCAGTAGTTGTCGAACTATTGAAGTCGTCGGTTGCGGTCATCAAAGTTGTCGGTTGCAATAGTCGCTCGAGTGCTTAGAGCGTTAGCGGCGATAACCGGAGGACTTTTATGGAATTCACTTTTGTATGAAAAAGCCTTGTGAACTATTATAAGTCGTGTGAGCACTATTTCATAGTGTTCAGTATTAACTCTATACTTCTATTTGTCATTTCGGTTGATAGATCTTTGATTTGTTATACAAAAGAAACTACAGTGAGTAGCACTGGTGCTGAATGTATTGAATGGTCATCTGGAGAAAGGCCTTTCGCTAGGGATTGATAGCAAATGTTAACAGATAAAAGTTCTAAGACATATGCTTATATAGCTACTAAACATGCTGTTCTATTAAGTGTGTCGACTAATGTTTGTTGCTTGCTGGAATTTCTTTAGATTACAGTTCCAGAACAAATCATGTGTTTGATATTGTATGAAAATTGAAAAGAAAAGAAAAAGAAAGAAAAATATAGATGAAATCTAAATAAAGTTTAAAAAGAATTGTAAATGCTAGCAGACGGAACAATTTCGAGGAATCTTGCGTATAGACAACGTCTGTTTTGAGTAATTTAGATAAGAACAAATTAAATTAGGTGGCGGTGGCAAATAGTACTAAATTACTGCACTGAAGGGTAATAAGGTGAGCAAGATTCAGGACTTGAACAGTGACTGAATCTAGGTTTCACGGGGTATAACACACGTAGTTTTAACAGTCATGTATGTCTATACTATAATGTCGGGAACTGTAGGTGGCTTTTAACAGTAACCTAACATCTCCGACCCCTGGACGCTTTAACAGTGAACAGGGAAGGGCGTGTTGTCTGCGACCTATATTATAACACACGTAGCTTTAACAGTCACGTGTGTCTGTGTTATATCGCGTCGAGTATAGAGTGGTTCAGCTGTATAGTCGTTTTAGTTTATCTTCAGTTCAGGCGTAAGAGTAAATCAGAAGTGACAGGGTCTCAACAAATAAATTTCTTGTGAAAACCTTGGTGCCGGCTGAGTTTAACCCCAGCTATACAGAAGAAAAGGTTCATTACAAGGGGTTATGAGTCTGCAGCTATAATCCTTTGAGCTGAAGATACGTCTTTAGGCTGAAGTAATTCGGAAAATTGTTCATATCTCAATACATTTCATTTCGTCGTGTGAACTTATTATAAGCAGTTGATTCGCATACTTTTTGTGTATTTATTTTTTAGTTTGTTTGGATTTTCTCTGCTCAAATGTAACATGTTCGAAAATAAGGTGCTACGGAAAAGCATAAACCGCTAACACAATTCTACCATTTATAATTCACATATATTTGATATAATCCTCTTGAATTACCATTTCCCATTTCTGTAATTCTTCAAATAGTTCAACTTCTCACCAATCTTAAGGGAAGTTTAATAATATGAGGTTTAAGCCATTTCAATTATTGTTTCTGACGTGGATGACATTTTTCTTTAGTAATCTCGCTGTAAACTCTTATACAAATCTTACTCATTAATTGAGTTCTTTATAAATAGAATACAATATCAACCATACTCCGAGTCACCATCATTTAAGCGTTGCAATAGACTAATAAAATAATAGTATTTATATTTAATATTATTTATGACTATATTACATTAATATGTTATATACATGACGTTAAGTTTTCTTATATTTCCATTTTCTTGGTAACGAGGTACTGCATTTTGCAATTTTTCCAAACGGAAAATTTTCTCGGTTCAAATCTTACATTGCGGCTTCTGATGCTATTCATACCCAAATATCCCAATTAATAATATAATTTATATGCCAACAAAAATGTTTGTTACGAAATCTAAGAAGGTTTTGAATAAATAATTGTCAAATTTTTATATCATAATAGAATTTGAATTTTGGAGCTTAAAAACAAATAATGTTACCTTTTTACATTTTTCTTCTTTTATTTCGAAATGTACTCCCCAATAATATTACTGGGATTTTCACACCTGCGGTACATATTGTTGGTTCACATTCCACTAAGGCGTCTTCATTTTCAAAATATGCTGTTTCCATAAGGAATGATAAACTAAGTAAGTTTTTCGGAGACAACCACCTATGTGGCGGTACTATAATATCGAGTCTGCATATTTTAACTGTCGCACATTGTATGCACAGGTATGCTCAAATATAAACACCTTGAAATTATATCTAAAAATTTCATATTTTATTTAGAGCTAATGGAGGGCTCAGAGATGCATCTGACATTATAGTAGTGGCTGGATGTCCTTATCGGTTACAGAAATCTTCTATGACGGAGGAACGCAAAGTGCAAAATATACAAATTCATCCGTTATATTTGTACGGTAAATATGACTTCGATATAGCTGTTATTACACTACAGAGAGAACTTCCAGAGGACGATGTGTATATACAGCGAATACCAGTACATTATGATACTAAAAACCCGGCTGGAACGGACTGCATAGTTGTAGGATGGGGCAGTATTTTCCGTGTAAGTGAGAGGGTAAATTGGAGGTAAAACATATTTTTTATTAATTCTGCCCAAAATTTGCAGTTTTACTAAAAATTATTTCATTAAAATGTTGATAAAATTATATATACAATAGTACAAATGCAGTGCTTTTAGTATATCTAAAGATCTTGTAAATACCTTGTTTTTATAAAATATTTTATATGCAAGTTTTGATATCTAAAATAGGAATTAATGTGTTCTACTTTGTAGGGTGGTCCGTATTCATTACATGCCCTTCATGTACAAATACAATTAATGGCGTTTAATCAATGTAAAAAAATTAACGAAGTTGGAAAGCATGCTCATTATTATCACAAGGGTATATTGTGTGCTGGCGACCTGGCCAATTTCGAAAAAGATGCGTGCGTTGGAGACTCAGGATCTCCGCTTATCTGTGCTGGCTTGTTAACTGGTATTGTGGCTTTCGGATATGGATGCGGTCATCAAAACTATTCAGGTTACTACACGG